AGAGAGTGAGAGAGAGAGAGAGAGAGAGAGAGAGAGAGAGAGGAAGAGAAAGAGAGAATGTCAGAAAATTTCATAATCGCGAATGCGAATGTTCGTTAGGCACAGCTAGAAATAGCGGCTGAAAAGAATTGGGCAGACGCACAATTACTGATTAACCAATAGAGAAACAGACGTGAGTGAGAAAAGCCTGATGATAAATACAAAAGAGCCGGAACCTGCGGACCACTTCTACTCTTCTTCTTCCCCTCTTCGAGGCGCTTAATTAAAAAGTAAAATAAATAAAAGACTTGAAAAGAAAAAAAAGAACAAAAAAAAAAAAAAAAAAAGAAATAAATAAATAAAAACAAACAAAAAACAAAAAACATAGACAAAAATCATAGAGTAAAATGCCCAATAAAAAATCAAAATAATAACGAAAATGAAGAAAATGAAAATGGGAGAACAAAAAGTAACCCACATTGTGTGTCTGGTTCTGCCGCCAGGTCTGTTGGCCGGCAGTGGCGCGACCGATGAGTTTCGATGCGAGCCCTGCAACAAAAACCTGACCTCCCTAACGCGGTTGAAGCGGCACATACAGAACGTACATACGAGACCGAGCAAGGAGCCCATCTGCAACATCTGCAAGAGGGTTTACTCCAGCCTTAACAGTCTGCGAAACCATAAGAGCATCTACCACCGACAGCACAATAAGAGCGAGCAACAACGCAAAGAGGACGATCAGCAGCATCAGCAACAGCAGCAGCAGCAGCACCAGCAACAACAACAACAACAACAACAACAACAACAACAACAACAACAACAACAACAACAACAACAACAACAACAACAACAACAACAACAACAACAACAACAACAACAACAACAACAACAACAACAACAACAACAACAACAACAACAACAACAACAACAACAACAACAACAACAACAACAACAACAACAACAACAACAACAACAACAACAACAACAACAACAACAACAACAACAACAACAACAACAACAACAACAACAACAACAACAACAACAACAACAACAACAACAACAACAACAACAACAACAACAACAACAACAACAACAACAACAACAACAACAACAACAACAACAACAACAACAACAACAACAACAACAACAACAACAACAACAACAACAACAACAACAACAACAACAACAACAACAACAACAACAACAACAACAACAACAACAACAACAACAACAACAACAACAACAACAACAACAACAACAACAACAACAACAACAACAACAACAACAACAACAACAACAACAACAACAACAACAGCAGCAGCAGCATCAGCAGCATCAGCAGCATCAGCAGCAACAGCAACAGCAACAGCAACAGCAACACCAGCACCAGCATCAGCAGCACCAGCAACAAAAATACGTCGTGCAGCAACAGTCGCGCCTCACGTGAGAGCGCGTCAGCCTTAGTTATTGCCTGGAAAAAGAGTTTGAACATGGGCGCTTGGGTTACCAGGTCGACTGTTTCTGAATGGAAGCGTGTCAGTGTTGCGAGAGCCGCGCTTGCTTCGTTCTAGACGGTGACGTTGAGTTTAATAATCGGTACCTGTTTCATAAGATCTAAGAGCTGAGAAGCGTCTGAGAAGCTCTTCTGATTCCGCAGAGTTCAATTAGTTATTTAAGATTAGCAATTAAGCGCGTCACCTTACTTGTATATAAATCACCATGGAAAAGTGTGCGAGATATGTTAAAGCGGAGATGCGACGCATTGTAATTTTATATGGGGAATCAGGTGCTCGACGAGTTCGTTAATTGTTACATTTATGACTTCTCCTTTTCTTAAATTTTAGGTTATTCAAACGTTATTTTAAAATTAATATATCACATGTATTTGTGTATCTTGTGCTTTTTCTTAAGGCTATTATTAAAACGATTGCTCATCGAGTAATTATTAACGGCTAATTCGTTAACATTGTTTTTTTTTTTTTTTTTTTTTTTTTTTTTTTTTTATATTTTATTAAGACATAATTTTCCATTGTTATCTTTTGGTTTATCTTGGATTTAACTATTACGTCTATATAAGTTTCGATAAGTTTTGCATCGAGGCCGCGAAACAACAACGGCAAAAAAATGATTAAAAAAATAATAAATGGCAAAAACAAAAAAAAAAGCGAAAAAGAAACAAGAAATTGTGCGACCAGCTAACGCGTCACTCGAAGCATCGGCACAAATTATAACAATAACGATTTTGCATCAAGTACGCAGCGGCCGGGAAAAATTTTCAAAAAGACTAACGAGAAAGCCGAATGCGATCTACTTAAAACAGTGTCTATTCATTATTGATTTTCGCTCGAACGTAACCAAGCATAAACGACCAAGTGGAAGCATTTTACTTCCTCGCTTCCTTCGCGAATTATATTGCGAATACAGCAATTTTTAATTTCTGTACGTCTAGTGAAAGTTAAGTAGTCGCGCACAACGATTAGCACCCTTGTTTTCTTTTTAATTGAGCTCAAGTTTTTACCAGCTGCGCACGCACGCCGACCAAACTTGAACTCGACGCGAACTTCGTAAAGGAGCGTCATAAATTACGTCATGCAGTTACGCACGCAATAATAAATTATTTTTAAAGTATAATCAGTGGTTGTCGGTATTCCCCTGCTGTGCACGATTCACAGAGATGGCATAAAAGCACCTATAAGGCGATAGACGAAAGTATGATGAAATTTACGAAGTTTCCTGTCGCGTCAGACAGTATATACAATATATATATATATATATATATATATATATATATTGTACATGCATACATACGTGCATACCTACAAATAAACGCCCACACACATGCATACATACATACGTACGTACACGTACACGTACACGTACACGTGCACACACACACGCACGCACGCGCGCGCACGCACACACACACACACACACACACACACACACACATATATATATATATATATAACGAGAAAAAATGCTCCAGTTAACGTAGCATTTAATTTATTAAAGAAGCGCAATGTTAGAATTCTAATAATATTGTTATGACGTATTTTATTATTTCAAATGTTTATTGTATTTTAATGTTCGGCCTAGATTAATAATGCCGAACAAGAGAGAAATAACGTATGCTGAGTTATCGATGAAATGAAATATAGAAGAAAAAGAAAAATGGTCTAAAGCAGGCGATCAAGTCTGGTTTTCTAGGTCATGCCCAGACAGAGAAAGAGAGAGAGAGAGAGAGAGAGAGAGAGAGCGAGATGAAAACACTAGATTGTTTGCTCGTCGTTGAGCACTGTAAATAGACAAAAAAATTTTTATACCTCAATTTACTAATGCCTGTTTTTATTTCTCTGAGGGGTCAAGGTTATATTTTTCGCATTTTTCATTTTTTATGTACTCACTCACCGTTCTTTCATTATTTATGAATAAAAGTCATCTTTGTACGGAAAAGAAAAGCAGTCTTAATGCCGCTGTCCACGGACTTTGGCGAAATTTTTTTTGTTACAAGCCACGTTCGAGTGCTGCTAAAAAGAGAGAACTCGAACGTCCTCTTCCCATCCCTTTTAGTGAAAAAGCAATAGCACGTCCGGCGTGGTCAAACTTGTCCGCGCGCGTGCCTTGTTTTATTAATGAACGTAAGAAAATAGGAAAAATTAAATATTCTCCTTATGATTAGACACTACATTCGTCCACGCCCGGGGAAGCATTGAGAATGGTATGTTTATTTTAATTTTCAAAATCTATCATAATATTTTTGTCACATCGTGTAACAAGTTTGTTTATATTGAACTAATTTGGATTTCCCAATCGAGCGAGAGAACGAGTCACAATATCATTGTGCCGTTTAACGGGAAAAAAGAAATTATTAAAAATTATTCTTTACTATCATCGAACATAGTGTAAGGCGACGCAAGTCACACATTACCATAATCAATGACAAACCAGAGCCCCGAGCCTTTTCTCTTGTCTGTCTCTCTTTCTTGAATAAGATCCGACTCTCTTAGCAAGACGACAAAGCGTTCGCAACTTTAAGTAAAGATAGAGTATTTAACAAAAATTATTTAATTCATTTTTTAACGACAGATATTTAAAAAAAAAAAAAAAAAAAAAAAAAAACTGTTAACAATAGAAATAGAGTATTTCCTAGTATTTAACCGACCCTTTTCAATCCGTCCGCTAGTCTTTTTTATCTTTTTCTTTTTCTTTATAATTCTCTTTAATGAAACAATTTAAATAGAAAGAAATAGAATCAATCTTTTATACGAAAACAAATGTCGTTACTTTATTTTTCTCACCCTCACCTCCCCCGTCTCCAAAACCGCCCACCCCCTTTTTTATTCGCCCCCGCTCTCTTTCTATAGAAAAGTACCAGCATCGTTACTAATGTGTCCACAATATTAATGGCAGCCGTATCTTTGTTCTTGTTTGTTCCCGGTCCCGGTCTCGCTCGGCTATACGTGCTCTGGTTCGTCATTGTTCTGTGTGTACCTCTACTACTACCTACCTTCACGAACGGATTTGTGCTGGGGGTCCATCCGCACGTGGAACTATCTCCGTTGCCTCCTACTCGGCCGCAATATTGGTTCGTAACGGATTATGAAAATTCAAACAAAAACACCACATCATTAACTTTAACAAAACAACAAAATTGCAACTTTATCATTTGTAATAATAACTTTGCTTAACCAACCCTTTGTTTATTTTGTCTCTTTTACCAAAACAAATTAAACTCTAATTTTAACGAAAACAAACTTGTGCACACGTATGATTTCGGGCGTCTGGTCGTCGTCGTCGTCGTCGTCGTCGTCGTCGTCGTCGTCGTCGTCGTCGTCGTCGTCGTCGTCGTCGTCGTCGTCGTCGTCGTCGTCGTCGTCGTCGTCGTCGTCGTCGTCGTCGTCGTCGTCGTCGTCGTCGTCGTCGTCGTCGTCGTCGTCGTCGTCGTCCTCGTTATCGTACTCGCACGATGATGGAATACTCGTCACAACCAAATCACTTGCTCACCATTACTCGTAACGTCCTTGAAAATCGCGCCAAATGTACATTCGCCTCTAATAACGCTTTGACGCGATACGACCACCATACGTACGGACCAATCAATCAAACCAACGACAATCGCAAACAATACAAACCTATAACAAACCACTGTGCATTCGCGATTATGACGCGAAGGACCGCCCTCCGCGATCCTGGCGATGCGGCTGTCGCATCCGTTGCACGGCAGCCTCCTGCCGCCGGGCGTTTGCTACACCTGCGACGTGTGCGGCAAGACCCTCTCCACGAAGCTGACGCTCAAGCGGCACAAGGAGCAGCAGCACTTCCAGCCGCTAAACAGCGCCGTATGTGCCCTCTGCCACAAGGTCTTCAGGACTCTCAACAGCCTCAACAACCACAAGAGCATCTACCATCGGCGGCAGAAATAGAGCTTGGCCGGCCGGGCTCGCGTCGGGCCGAGACCACCCGGCCTCTTACTACTGCGCCAGCAATAGGCAATCCGGCGGAAATTCCCCATAGATTATTTGCCGAAGGAGCCTCGACTTGGCCCCAGAACCTCGGCGCGCCCCGCTTCCCTGCTCGCCTACTACCCCGTACCTGGTAGTGTGAGTGATAGTGATCGTAGCGGTGGTGGCGGTGGTGGCGGAGGTGGCGGAGGTGGCGAAGGTGGCGGAGGTAGCGGCGGCGGCGGCGGCGGCGGCGGTGGCGGCGGCGGCGTTATTGTTGTTGCCCTTGCGACACGGGCCCTCGCTCACTCACGGGTAAGTATGACTACTCCAAAGCCAAACTCGTCGACCAAATGTGTCGCTTCGGCCTTAATCAAAGCGAGTCCGATTTATTCCTCGACAACGTCGGCAGATTATTTTGTTTGCAAATGTATGCCAGTGAGGCGAGCCTCACCTCCATCGCGACTCGCGCTCCGCCCTCACGTTATTTGCGCGGAAGTGAGACACGGTGCCCGCGCTGCTGCGAAACATTCCAAACGCACCGATAACGCAATAATAACGTCGTCGATCCTTTTTGGCTCCTTTCGTGCGTGCGTACGTACGTGGACGCGATGTCGCTTAACTAAACCGCTCGAGCCCCTTCAATATCTTACATTTTTTCTTTCACTCCGCTCGCCTTTATCCCCACGACTCTTAGTCCTAAATCTGGCTCGCTGTCGTTATCTGGCTAATCCGCGAATACTTACCAAGCAAACCAAAGTACTCTGCTAGCGCTTGTTACACGGACTTGTCTCTCCAAATAAAATGGCGAATGAAGCTAATGAGGTTAATTAGCACACAACGATTAGACACTTATTTGGAGTAGTCATGCTGACTTGTAAAGCGAATTAGGTAATTGCGTATTGAGTGAGTTTCGTCGACGATGCGTCGTCGAGGGCCGTGACGGTCTGAATTTCCGCTTGGATGGTCGGCCCGAGTTGTCGGGCCGCGCGAAAACGTAACCGAAGGATCGAGCTTAGAGGCTTGTTATGGCGCGTGTATAAAAATATGCGGAGATGTGATGAATACGAGACACGACATTAATGTCGGTTATTAAGTGTATAGAGTTTTTTTTAGGAGAGAGAGTGGATTTATACGTACGAGAGCTGTCGAGTGAGACTTTCGCCGCGGACGAGTCGGACGTACTTCATTATCACGCGAAACAATATTATTGTACGTAAAATATATAGGGACAATGAAAAGATTGGGAGAGTGAGAAGTGAGGGGGGGGATATGGTTGGAGGGGGGAGGGGTAATAGAAAATAGTAGAGGGAGGGTGAGAGTTAGACACTTACACACACGCACACAACAACAACAACAACAACAATGACAACGACGATGACAAATACAATAAGAACAACAATAACAGCAACAGCAACGACAAGAAAAACGGAGAGAAAAATGAGTAAACGCGCGTTTTCATTTATTAA